ACCGACCAGCCTCCCCCATCTCCACTACCACATATTCCTGTGGATCTTATGTCGGATACGGCCTATTATGGTTCAAACCACTCTGATACTCCTGACCCCTCCGGCACACCATGATATACTCACTCCTTCGGCTCACATTCTTCCGTTACCATGTTTGATGATGGCATTAATTTCCCGCAGGAGCTCTCTGATTTTCCCGACGGCTCCCACTCTTCTGTAACCGGTATTGCCAACAACGTCCACCCTTCGTCCGATCTGTCTGACTTCTCGGACTCGACTTTTGACGATGGCATTAATTTCCCCCAATCCCTCAGTGTAATTATCGGTCTATCAAGGCGATATCAACGCCTTAGAATAAATAAACGCTTAGGTTTAGGCTAAGTATAGTATAATTTAAAAGTAAATAAACGAAATGAGTTTTTTAGTAAAGTAACGTGTGCCTCGTGAAAACAGCAATACTCTGAGGGATTGTGAGGCTGAGACATTGCCTATATATAATCCTCTCAGCACTGTTTTCGCCGAAGGGTTTTAATTAGTGTTTCGTTATCGCTCTATTAGAAACTATGGTATGTTTCGTTGGGCCGAATCCGAGAGACTCATAAAATCCTATCTTAGAAAGAAAAAAAGAAAAAAGAAAAGAAAAATACTCTTGATGTCCATAGTTATTGCATGAACCAATAACTTGCCACTTATCAAGAATTACCGACTAGCCTTCATCAGATTGACACATCTGGTTGACTGAACGGAAGATAAACTAAGTAACGCTAATAGTCCTTAGAAACCTATGTTCGGTTGAGCCATCTCGCTATCGAAGTATTCAGATATAAATAGATTTGGAAATAAATATAGTTTTATTACTAGATTTAGACCAAATCTTATATTTGGTATTTTACTGGGGCCTTTTAATGGCCTTGTACAAATATCTGATATGTAAAATGGAAAAGGTATTTAATTAATAAAACCGTTAAAACCCATTTAAGGAAAACTAAGTTTACGTACCTTTAAGAGTACATTTATATTACAAGATTCTAATGTGGAGGCCATGGCTTTTACACAGCCCCCACCCAGCTTTGTGACCTAGGAGAAGCAATTTGCTCACTCAAGCTGATTATGGGTCAAAAAAGCGAGAAAGGAAAATGGGTCGAAAATATTAAGTAGCATAATGTATAGTTAATGTTTCTCAGGCGGAGAAATTAAGCGTTCTCGGTTACCCTGTGAGTTTTGGGTTTAGGTCCAGTAGGTCCGTGGTGGTCGACAGGACGTTTCTTGCGCTTCAATGATTTTGGAACATACGAAGGGTAAGCAGTAAAGCTCGGGATAAAAGCTATTGGCGGGTAAGTTTTAACTTCCGTGCCTTCAGACGATGGGAACATACTATCTTTTTCAGCCTGTGACTTATGTAGGCGTTTACGCCATTTTCTGTTAAAGGACTTTAAATAGTCCTGATTGTCAAAAGCGTCTGAAGTTAATTCAGCGATTCTACCGTCTATAAAACGTGTATGATAGTATGTATATCCTCCTTTATTCGTTCTCCATATAATGTCTTTGAATTCGGAGCGGTCAAGAGGTGCAGTAGAATCATGTCTTCTTGCGAGAATAATCTCAGTAGTCGGAATTCGACCAGTGCCCATATTTAAAGCACTAGAACCGTCGGGGTTGTTAACCTCATAGGTTCCACTTTTAGTGTCGGCTACAGAAATTATATATGGTCCTATTCATTTCGATGTTAGTACGGTAGCATCGGAATTACGTCGACAGATGTTAACTCTGTCTCCCACCTGGTACTCTGCTATCTTTTTGGTAGCATTCCATCTATTTTACCTTTTTAATAAGGCCACATTGCGTGTCTCTCGCAAGCAAGGATATACAGCGTTGTGTATGCGTTGTACCTTCTCTAACCATGACAATTCATGGTGGTCAGGTTCGTCTTTATTAAAGGGTATTTGTAACTAACTATATCTGGCTCTCTCACGGAATACCAGGGATCAACCTCGCCAGACATATGGAAACCCTGGTTGCAGCATTGTCTCTGAGTATTGCCTCTTTCCGCGCTTATGGCTTTCATGGCTTTAGCTGGCGACACCCCCGCAACCGACTGGTGCTGTTCAAAACATTCATCCTATTCACGGCTACATATGGCCTGAACATTATTGCCTGGGCTCCGCCTATATGGAAGGATGCGTTGGACTCCCTGTTCGAACGCTTTAACTCAGCACTCATCCAAGCAGCAGCCATCATCACGGGCACTAGATACCCTCGGTTTCCCAAACATCAAACAAACTTACTCCACTTTTGTGGCCTGCTCCCCGCGCGACCATTCGCGGACTACCTCGGAGGTTGCCTGGGAATACAACTCGACTCAATGGCCAGCACACATCCATTCACCCCTTTGGCACAACTCGCATGGGCCCACGACAAACCATCACTGCGCTTCCCGTACAGTATTTATGCTCGCCTGAAAACTGTACACAAAACCACAGGCGGGCGTACACCCGACTATGTAGCCCTCCGCCAACGCTGTGACGACATCAGGAAGAACTCAACAAAACTCTGGTCCAAGAAGGAGATCGTGGCAATGGCCCGGCGCCAATACTACTACCAACTAGCTATGGGTAAGCCGCTAACCTCAGACCGAGACAAACCCAGACACGACAGCTTCAACCGCTGCCTCGAGCCTACACCAATCGGGGGCTCTGTGCTATGATTGTAACGAATACGTACATGTTCACATTGCTCGACTACCGCACCGACGGCTGTCTCTGCCCTGCCTGCCTGGGTAGCCACAAGTTCACCACCAGCCACTTTACCTGCATCCAACAACTGATTCGACGCATCCTGGTAGGCCCGAAACTGCCGCCCATTGGCCCTGACCTCCTCCAGTAATTACAGGAGTGTCACGACTTCCACGGTATCTGGACCCTCCACGAACACCTTGGATCTTTTCTACAGCATGTAGAAGAACCACCGTACCCTCACCCGTCTCTGACACATCAACAGTTGTTCCCCATACCCTGGCTAATCACGCTCTTGAAGTACTACTTCCAAATTTTGGTTCAAACCAAATCATCGCGCTTGTTGGTCCCGCCTATGATACTTCCGATCCAGGCCAGCCAGCACATACCGAATGCATCCGTGGTCTGGTGCGGCATTGGCTCACCCCCATCCTCGCTCCTCGACCGATTTATGACGGATAACCTGGTCCTACTCGGTATTTCGTACTCTGCACCAACCCATTCCAAGGCACTACACGGCGCAGACTCGATCCGTACCACAGAGGTGGGTACGCTACTTAGTAGGAAAGCAAGCGAGTACATGACACATTCGATGGTATCAGTGTTTTGTCAGCACCGACCGGAATTGACTCAGCGCATATCCTCCCTCGTCGACTAACTTGGCCCAAGTTTCAAACGGGAATTTACTGACCACTTCAGCAAGCGAGTACATGGCACATTCGATGGTATCAGTGTTTTGTCAGCACCGGCCGGAATTGACTCAGCGCATATCTTCCCTCGTCGACTATCTTGGGCCCAAGTTTCAACGGGAATTTACTGACCACTTCTTCCCATCGATCTTTCCCGAACCACTACAACGGCTATGAGAGCCATCCCATATGTTCATACATTATAACATACATACATTGCAACTTATCTTATTTTTTAAAATAATAATTTTATCCCTATATCTGCCACGAAAATAGTGAGCGGGTGTTGTTCCTATAACCGGATCAGCACGCTCGTTCATCTGTGTTTGTACCCACGTTAGGTGGTACGGCCAATCATCTGCATCATCTGTTAATGCAGTACGTAAGAAAAACTTAAGTCTTATGTGGCGCGTTTCATTAGCGCCTTGTGTTTACGGTTTATATCGTACACCCCTTTTATAGCACATACCTGATACGAGTACAAACGATTCTATTACGTCATCGCAGAACTCGCTACCGTTATCAGTGCACATTATACCTGGCCACCCGTGGTCAGCAAAGACTTGGCAACATAGTTCTGCCACTGTCTGCGTACTCTTGTCCTTTAAGGGATAGAGCAAGTTATACCGTGACGCCACATCAAAGAAGTGGCATACGTAACGGACGCCTGTGTGCTCGGACGTAGGCAGGCCAACCAGATCAATGATGACCCTGCGCCATGGAACATCTTCAGTCACACTCTTAAGCGGTGCAAACCCATAGCGCTTAATCTGGTTGAGATCACAGTCTGTGCATGACTGATATACTCTGTCAACTAAAGTTGACAGCTTAGGGTGCACGATCCCATTTCGCTTAGCATCTTTAAGTGCGTCTACTACGTTCTGGTGCTTCAGCTTATGGATTTGCGTCAGCCAAGCGGAAATGGTTTTATCATTCTTCTCTTCCAGAATAAAGGTAGGGTGTTGAGAATCCACTTGCGTGGTCTCTAAGTCTGTAGTGCTTCCAGACTCCTGGCCTTCTTTCGCATGAGTGTCATGAGTGCGCTCGTGTGCGTTTGATACACCTGATTTATTTAACAGTCGCATTATATGTGTATATACTTCCGGGATTATCTTTCATTAATCCTTTTAGAAAGAGTGTTTGAAAGACTTCGGGCTTGGACTTTATGTTATTAAATAGAGTCCTAGCTAGAGACTGACGCTTCTTATCGGTAGTGTCATTAGTAGATTGTATTTCTTGTGCACAGACTTCAGGTGCTGTTTTGCCTTTGAACTGCTTAACGTTCAATCTTGTAGAGAGTGAAATCTCTGA